TTAGGGTTTAGAAGTTGAAGGTTCAGGGTTTAGCAACCCTCAGCCACTTATGCCCCGAATAACACCTTCCAGTTGCTGCCTCGGGTGGGAGGCATGGGGCCAACGGAGCACAACCTCCGAGAATCACCTGGTGACAGTGCTCGGGATTTGGCCGCAGGGTAGAGGGCCCTTTGGGGCGAGGCTTAACGCAGGGGCCTTAATAATTGCCAATACGTTTTGGGGGGTTCCTTATCGAACTATGGTAAAATACACCCCAAAACCCCATTCTCATTGCTAAGCCCGTACATTACGGGTGTCAGGTGTGGGGCTTGAGGTTTTTGGGAAGGCGTTTAGCGTCCAAAGTGCGTTCAACTGAGGAGTCGGATTGAGGGCGATCCGAGGTTGCAACGAAACGAAGTAATGTAGGTGCCTTAATAATTAGAATAGGGCTTTGAGGAAAATACTATCCTACAGTTATAGTAAGGAACCACCAAAGTAGTATAGGCAATGAGTAAGGCCCCTATATTAGAAGGATCATCACATCAAATGGACGATTGGCAAGAACAGCATAAGTATCAATGGCGACGCATTTTGGGGACTTCTACTGCTAAAACCGATCCACCTCCAGTACTACCAGCAAAGAAAGACAAGAAACCGTAACAATCGTAATGACGAAGTGTCCTAAGTTGCAATGTGGACAGAATGCGAGCTTGATGCCAGGAGAGGACTGGAGTACTACAGCTTCTTAGTGCGACTGGTGTGTCTATGTCTCAATTGCACTGACGGACTGACGGCTCTATTGGCAGTCTTGCAGCCGCTGTTCGCCGCTGTTGCTGACGGCACTCAAGCCGTTGAATGACGAGCACTGCAGAACTACCATAGTCGCGGTGGAAGCTTCCAGCCATGCCATGAAGGACAGATGTTACCATACGACTGAGGCTCTTATAACATTGATGATGGACCAAAGCCTGCATGTGCCTCAAGTACTTTAGAAACAATGCACACACTTTGCTATGCATACCGCAGGATCCAAACCTCAAGCCTTAAGCCTAGCATTGCATGCCGGCCCGAGCGCATGTTCAGTGGCTGAAGATCTACGATTGAGGAAGGCTTCGGTTGCTGCGGGATTGAGGGTGTAGAGTAGTTCACGGCGTCATTGGTTTAGTGTTGTGGGTTGAGGATTTGCAGGCCAAGGCCTTCAAGACCGAAGGCACTACCATCCCTACCCACCCGCGGTCCTCTGAGGTGCATGAATCACAGCGCTCTGCCTTGGTAGGCAGGGAACTTAACAAACCGTCGAAGATGCTGATGAGGGGTTTGATGTGGGAGTTTCAGCACCGGGTTGCACGTGGGGTAAAAAACTGCACTGAAAGCCACTGATACCTGAACCCTAAACTGCACATCTGCAACCGCAAATCCTCAACACTAGGCCGTGAATTGTGACCCCCCGCCCTAATCTCTACCAAAATGTCACGACGTCCCATGCCGAAGGGTTCTGCGCATAGCTTCATGAAGGTCTTCCAAAGATGGGTGGATGGAAGCATGGTGCTCCTATAAGGCATGGTGCAGTCTAGGATTTAATATAGTGGCCTTAACACTTACCTACGCTACTTTTGGGGGCTCCTTATTACAGCTATAGTATAGTAGACCCCGAAAACGCTATTCCAATTATGAAGGCCCCTACACTAGTAGTACTGGTTGGGGCTTTGAGTTCAGGCGTTGGGCTTGTAGCTTACGGCTTGTGGCAAGGAATTTTTGGAGCTCCAATATGCTCCTGGTCGTGTAGCACAGTA